TGAAAGAACATTTACTTTATCATATAAATTTTTATCAAAATTTATCATATATTAAGGAAAGAAATATAAGGCGTTACACTAAGAAGAACAAATGTTTAAGCTTAAATCTGAAGAAGATCCAGAGTTATTGAAGGTTTTCTCTAAGAAAGGAGAGAGAGAGAACGAAGAGGATGGAGAGGGATATGTGATTTGGTTGAAAATAAAGATTTTAGGGTGAGAGTTCCTTAAATATCTCTCAAACTCACGACTTTCTCGCTACAGCGAGAGGTTCTGGCTACAGCGAAAAAACCAGAAGTTTTCTTCCTTTGCTGTCTGTCATTTTAGCTATAGCAAGAGCTCCTTGCTACAGTGAGATAGTAGCATTCTAGTTATAGCGAGAGGGCTCCAGAATGTTCCATTTTCACTGCCTCATTCTTGCTACAGCGAGAGTTGTCTCGCTACAGCGAGATATCCCATAGTTTACATCAATTAAACACTTCTAATTTCAAATAACATGCACAGATAACTAACATTAATTGCAAAAATAATAAATTACAAAATAAGGATGTTACAGGATAAGCCTGTAGCAACTTCTTCTGTGTGTTTAGGTTGTTTTGTGATGGTAGATGGTAGAAGTTTTAGTATAGATTTGATTTGTTTACCTCTTTCCCAACTTCATGTAATTTTAGGAGTGGATTGGTTGTCATCCAACCATGTTCTATTGGACTGTAAAGGGAAAGTTTTGATTTTTGGCACAAAGTATCAGAAAGTGCTAGACTCTTAAGTCCAGATTCGTTGGGAAATGTAATGAGTGCTAAGGCTTTCATGGTTCTATTTTCAATTGAGATTGAAAAGGAAATGAAGCCTAAGTATATCCAAGTGGTGAGAGATTTTTTAAAAGTTTTCCCTAATGATGTTATTGAATTGCCCCCAAAAAGAGAGATTGAGTTTACTATTGATCTCATTCCGAGAGCAAATCCTATTTCTGTTGCACCATATAGGATATCACCAGTGAAGTTGGCTGAGGTAAAGAAACAAGTAGAAGAATTGTTACAGAAAAGGTTTGTAAGGCCAAGTGTGTCACCTTAGGGAGCACCTGTTCTTTTGGTGAAAAAGAAAGATGGGAGCATGGGGATGTGTGTCGATTATAGGCAGTTGAATAAGGTAACAATAAAGAACAAGTATCCTATTCCTCGAATTGATGACTTGATGGATCAGTTACAAGAAGCTTCTGTATTTTTGAAGATTGATTTGCGATCTGGTTCAGAGTTAAGAATGAGGATATTCCCAAGACAGCATTTAGAACCCGCTATGGCCACTATGACTATTTAGTTATGCCATTTGATGTAACTAATGCTCCTGCAGTATTCATGGACTATATGAATATAATTTTTCATGAGTTTTTGGATAAATTTGTTATAGTATTTATAGATGATATTTTGATTTATTCCAAGACTCATGAAGAACATGTAGAACACTTGAGAATTATTTTGCAGATATTAAGAGATAGTTGTATGCAAAATTCTCTAAGTGTGAATTTTGGCTACTACAAATCCAATTTTTGGGGCATGTGGTATCGAAAGATGGGATTATGGTGGATCCAATAAAGGTGGAGGCAGTGGCTCAATGGCCAAGGCCTACTAATCCAACAGAAATTTGTAGTTTTCTGGGACTAGCTGGCTATTTTAGGAAATTCATTTAAGGATTTTCTAAAATAGCTTTTCCTTTGACGAAGTTAACAAGAAAAGGAAAGAAGTTTGTGTGGAGTGAAGAGTGTGAAGCCAGTTTCCAAAAGCTGAAAGAAAAGTTAACATATGCCTTATCTTAATTTTGCCTAATCCAGAATAGAAGTTTGATGTGTATTGTGATGCGTCTGGGCAAGGGCTTGATTGTGTCTTAATGCAGGATGGAAGGGTAGTTGCTTATGTTTCGAGGCAATTGCGTCCTCATGAAGTTAATTATCCTACTCATGACCTAGAATTAGCCCGTGGTTTTTACTCTTAAGATATGGAGACATTATCTATTTGGGGCAAGATTTGAGGTGTTTAGTGATCACAAGAGTTTGAAATACTTGTTTGATCAGAAAGAGCTAAATATGAGGTAGAAAAGGAGGATGAAATTTATGAAGGATTATGATTTTACATTGTCTTACCATCCTGGGAAGGCAAATGTGGTTGCTGATGCTTTAAGTAGGAAGTCCTTGCATATGGCAAGTATGATGGTGAAAGAATTAGAGTTGATTGAGAAGTTCCAGGATATGAACTTGGCAGTGGAGGTGCGACCTCAGAGTCTATATGTTGGGACTTTGACAATCAACAATGATTTCTTGGTTAGGGTTTGTGATGCCCAACAAAAAGATGTGTTCTTGCAGGAAATGATGAGGCAGAGGGGTGAAGGAAAAGATTTGGAGTTCCACTATGATGCAAATAGATTGATTAAGTTCAAGAATGGTGTGTGTATTCCTTCCAATGATAAGCTTAAGCAGATGATACTTGAGGAAGCTCATAAAAGTAGAATGAGTTTTCATCCTGGTGCAACAAAAATGTATTAAGACCTTCATAAGAATTTTTGGTGGGATAGAATGAAGAAGGATGTGACTGAGTATGTAGCAAAGTTTTAAACCTATCAAAAGGCGAAGGTAGAACATCAACGTTCACCTCGGATGTTGCAGCCATTGGAGATTCCTGAGTGGAAGTGGGATAGTATTTCTATGGATTTTGTGTCTGGTTTGCCAAGAACCAAGAGTAATCATGATGCAATTTGGGCGATAGTAGATAGATTGACTAAAGCAGCTCATTTTCTTTCCATTAAGTTGGAGAAGCTAGCAGATATGTATGTGAGAGAGATAGTCAGATTGCATGGAGTGCCAACTAGTGTTGTGTCAGACAGAGATCCAAGGTTTACATCAAGATTTTGAGAGAGTCTGCAGAAAGCCTTGGGTACTAAGTTAAAAATTAGTTCAACTTATCATCCACAAACTAATGGTTAGACTGAAAGAACAATACAGTCCTTGGAGGATTTGTTGAGAGCTTGTGTGATGGAACAGTAAGGAACTTGGGAGGAATGTCTACCTTTGGTGGAATTCATGTATAATAACAGTTATTATGCAAGCATTGGAATGACTCCATTTGAGGCTCTGTATAGAAGAAAGTGTAGAACACCTTTGTGTTGGTATGAAATTGGAGAGGTGATCCTATATGCACCAAATATGGTTCAGAAGCAACATGAGCAAATCAAATTGATAAGAGAAAAGATGAAAATAACACAAGATAGGCAAAGGAGTTACTATGATAAGAGGAGAAAACTTTTGAAGTTTTAGGTGAGTGATCATGTGTTTTTGAAAGTTTCACCTGTGACTGGAGTTGGAAGAGCTCTAAAATTTAGAAAGTTATCTCCTAAGTATATTGGGTCATTTGAAGTGCTAAGTAAAGTTGGTCCTGTTGCTTATGAGACTGCTTTGCTTCCGAATCTCTCAAACTTGCATCCTATATTTCATGTATCTCAGCTTATAAAGTATATTCCTGACCCTACTCATATGATAGAACTTGTTCCTATTCAAGTGAGAGAGAATTTGTCATATGATGTATAACCGATGAAAATTGTTGATCGCCGTCTTAAGAAATTAAAGGGTAAGGATATTTCACTTGTTAAAGTAATATGGAATACTAGTGATGAGGGAGATGCCACGTGAGAAACTGAGAATAAGATGACAAAATTATATCCTGATCTTTTTGTAACTTAGCAAATTTCAGGAATGGAATTCCTTAAGGGAGGGGAGAATTGTAACATCCTGCACTTTGATTTAAATAAAATGAGATCTATTAAAGTATAATTGGAATAGATTTGGATGAAATTTATATTTAAAAAAATAAAAATTTGATGACATCATCAGTAACGCCATGCTGACGTCATGTACGCGTACAGTCCGTGTATAGTATGCATGCATAGTATTTTCGACGGTAAATAGTAAATTTCAAAAAATTTCTATAGAAAGGGGGTTCACACGAAATCTTCATTTCTTCACTCCTATCCAAGGTTCTCAAATGTTTCAAGGTTATATCTCACCATTTTCTCTAAGTAAACATTCCTAAACTTAGATTTCTCTTCAGATCTGTGATTCTACATCATTCTAAAGGATTTTAAGTAAGTTTCTCTAAGTTTAAAGTTAGATTTACCGTTCGTTTCTCACCTTCTTCTTTTTCTTATAGATGTTCATGGTGTTCTTAGCAAAAATTTCGTTCTTGAGTTAAATCTTCGGTTAAATCATTGTAAAAGCTCTGTTTTGAGGTAAGGGGGCTTTACTTTATCATTTTATTATGTTTATTGCTTGTATTCTCATAGATCTTGTCATATATGTGATTATATGTGGAATAATCCTTCTTTTATGAAAAATAATGGGTGAAAAGTGAGAATAATTGGTTGTTTATGTAATTTTATGATGAATACATGGTGAAAATGTGTTATTATGTTCAAATAATGCATGATAAGGTATATTGAGAAAAGAAATATAAGGCGTTACATAGTGATATAAAGATTTTATCTTAAAATATGTTACGGTACCATTGAGATTATCTTTTAGGGCTAGTGTTTACTTTGAGCTATATTTCTTAAATTTGTTGTTATCATTTTAGTTATGTGACTATTCAATTAAATTGCTAAGATTGGTTCGTTTTATGGTTCATGCAATTTGGATCTAATAACATATTAATGTAATGTACTATCATCTTATCTCATTCCATGAAACATTTGGAAATATTTTTCCTATTTATATATTTAGAACAATGAACAAGTTTGTTAATTATTCAAATATACATTATTTCATTTCTTATTCAGAAGGTTGTATATAGATGATTGTGGTGATACAATAATCATGTTTTACTATCTACATACAATGGACTACAATTATTTCACATCTCCTTACTTCATAGGGATGGTTTATCTATTCTTGAAAGGAAAACAAAAAGAAAAAAAATACATAAAATTGTATTAGTGAAAAGGCATTGTGATAGTTGACTATCAATTTAAGCTGCACAAATAGGAGCTTTTCCAGTAATTACAGGCTTAGCATTTGCACATTTAGCAGTTGCTTCTACTCCATTGAAAGTGAGATCAACATTGGTTAGCTCTATACCCTCACATGGTACACCACTGCTACATATAAGAGTCAATCCTTCTTGAGTTGCTGATGTTCCCTTAATGTTCTTAAAGTAAACCTTACTTATCTTGATTTTTGATGGATTCTGAATTCATGAAATGGACACAAATTAGTCATTTAAGTTAACTTTGTGTTTGGATTGTTATCTCATAAATTTAAGAGTAAGAAGAAAACTACTTAAGATAAAATCATTAGCTTATACATTAATGGATAAGGAATTAAATACCTTTTTGGAACATTGGTTCCATGGGCAATACTCTTGATCAATAATAATAGGGTTCTTGACATTAACCATAGTAATATCTTCAAAATGCATATCACTTATTGTTATCGTTCCTGGGGTATCAGGCCAAGTCTTGATCCTTACGCCATTGTCAGTTTCTGTCAGAGTACAATTCTTAACTAGAAGACCTTCTACAGGCTCTTCATTTTCATACTTTCCAAGACTTCCAACACTAATGCCATGACCAGGTCCACAATTCACATTTTGGATAGTTAAATTTTTACTACCATCACCTATTGAGATGCAATCTTCTCCAGTACCAATGTTAGTGTTAAGAACTTCAATGTCAGTGGATCTTCCAATGTGGATTCCATCAGTGTTGAGGCTATTAGCTGGGGCACTAATTGTGAACCCATCAAACGTGACATTGTTGCACCCCAAAACATTAACATGAAAATTTTTGCTATCCTTGGATGTAATGTCACGGATAATTGAATTATTGACGAAATTAAAACCAAAATTCTGTTTGCATTTCAAGAAAAGAAACACAATTAGATTATTATTTTGTAAAGGAAAAAGTTATTTGAATGCAAAAATTAATATTGATTTATTACCATACAAAGCATATGACATTTCTTGTTTGTTGAACAATCATTTAGCTTCCAGGCAGCTTCTCCTTGACCATCAAAAACTCCACTACCTGATAGGGTAAGAGAGTCAATATATCCAAACTTGACCCACTGGCCTGCGTCCTTGAGGTCATTTTGGCTTATAGGTGCCTGAATTGTGCCATCAACTTTAACTTCAATAGGAGCCTTGCATGGACCTTTGACATCTAATGCACTCATTTGGTATGTACCAGCTGGAATCATAATTTTCACAGGAGTAGTTGATGCACATGCTTGGGTCCAAGCACTTGAGAAAGCCTTATGAATGTGCAAAAAACAAAAATAAAAAGAACTTAAGCCATGATTTTATCCATATAATTTGTTAAAAATTGTGAAATCAATTATTTTCCCTCAATGTCATATAATAATACTACCTTAGCTATATCTGTATTTGGTGCCCCTTCAAACCTTGATATATCAAGGACTCCAGGTTGAGCTGTGCCAAAATCAACTAGAAATAAGAATAAAAACCCTATAGCATTACTAAGCTTCATATTGATTTTAAATGGTAATGATGGAAAATACGCTACTTCACACATTAATTAATTTCAAAGTACAATGTGACATTATTTATGCTGCATTAGCAATATTTTAGGCCACAAATTACATAACTAATAGTTTTCCAAATATGACTTTTACTATTTTAACACTTCCATCAATCATTCTTATTCAATTATTTGAAGCGATTTTACATCTCCGGTTAATATCTATTAATGTATTTTTTTCTTAATTTAAAACACTAGTTAAAAAAATTAAATCTTAAAAAATAAAATAAAATTTGATTAAGTCAAATTTCCATGTTTAGGTTTCTCCTCACACACACGCAAATTTGTGTCTATACACAAACACATATAAGTTTACAACCCAAGAAATATACTTTAGATCAAAAACTTTTTCATAACCATTCTCACTCTTCCAATAATAATAATAATATGTATTATTTAAATATAAAATAATATTATATATCTTTGTTATAATAAATCAAAAGTAAATTTATTATATAATTATCATTATTTTGCACATTAAAATATAAAAATATTAATTTCTAATAAAAACAATAAAGTAATTTAAGTTCTAGAAGAAAAAAATATATTACATTATTATCAACATAATGGCTTAAATAGTAGTATAATTTAAAATATAAATTAAAAAATATTTTTGAAATTTTGAAAAGCTTATCAAAATACTTTATAATACAAATAAAAACCCAAGAAATATTAGTTAAAAATATTAATTTATTTCTATAATATTATTGCATAAATTAATTTATAATTATATTCATAACATAAATATAATAAATAGCTTTACTATAATAATAATAAAAAATAAAAAAAAAACAACTTCTATAACAAGTATTATAGAAAACTTATTAGAAAAAGATTCAAAATAGAATTAAAATAATGTTATTTAAGCAATATAAATAATTTTAAAAAAATCATTATTTTTTTAAGTTATAAATAAATGTTATTAAAATTTCAGTGTACGTTCTTTATGAAATAATATGAACAAAATCTGTATCACGATAGTAATGCTTAAAATTTAAAATCATTCTGGTTTTATTTTAGTAAATTCGATTATCAAAAAATATCTCCACATAAGTAAAATTAATATAATTGATATTAAATTCAATTTGAAGGAAAATAAAAAAATATTTTAATAATTTTATCATATTTCTTACTATTACATTAGTAATATTATTTTGAAATATTAAGTAAAAATATCTAAATTCGTAATAATTATGAAATAATAAAAATTACTATTATTAAAATATTAGTAGTACAAAATCTTTCAAACATTTGTTTGTAAAAAATAATATTAATAAAATGTGAAATAATATTAAAACTAGAATCCTCAAAAAGTAACAAAATATGTTATTAAAATAGTAAATTACGCTATTGCAAAAAAGGTTAAAACTAGAGTAATAAAATATATAATAGTTATAAGAATAAATTATGTAGATAATAAGTTTTGGATTTTGTCCTCTAAAACGAAATTGTATATTTTTGTTTCTATAAATTTTAATATTTTAAAAATAATACTTATAGATAGTTTTATTGAATATTTAGTCATGTTAGTTTAAAACAATTGTCCTGATATGCTTAAATAAATGTGATGTAATATTAAACTAAAATCATATATCAACGGATTATTTAAAAAGGTTTAAGAGACAATTTAAATAATATTTTTAACTTATGAAAATTATATCAATAAAATATAATGATATTTATATATAAAATGCAAGTTATCAATCTTTCTCCTTTACCTCTCTATGGATTGAAAACATAGCTTTTAATAGAATTGTCTTCTTTGCTTATCACTTTGCTCATTTTGATGGAGAGAGCTTAGTTCGAGCTTATGCTCTTGAACTCTAAACTATGCAAGAGTAAGAGAGTTTTCTAACTTAGTAAATATTTAGCAACCTTCAAACACCCTTAAAATAAAATATGTAACACTTCAAATTTTGTAATGATATTTTATATACTAATATAAATTGTGAATTTTCATTGAATGTGTATTTAATGAGTATGATGATGTGAATGTATATATATGTATGTATGTATAATTTTGGATGTTGGTTGTGTATTGAATTGATTGAAAATATTGGCTAAGTGTGTGCTGCAAAGGTGTTCTTGCTGTAGCGAGAAGGTCTTAAACATAGAGCTTGAGTCTGTGGCATTCTCACTGCAACGAGAAGGTATTGAGAGAGGGGTGAAACTGTTGCGTTCTCACTGTAGCGAGAGGATGACTTCAGCAAAAACCAGAGTGTGGTTTCCTCTAATATTTTCGCTGTAGTGAGAAATGGTGTCGTTGCCGCGAGGATGTTTCACTACAACGAGGATGTCTCGTTGTAGCGAGAGTGTCGTGAAGGGTATTTGAGGGGTTTAAGGATTAGGAAAAATCATTTTTCCCACTTCTCCCTTTGAGCTCTCTTTATTCTCTCGATTCCCAAGCTATTCTTACCGATTAAACTGCCTCCAAAGCCATTCGTGAGTTGTATTGAAGGTTGAGATTGTGTTTGAAACACTTAGAGGTGAGTTTTAAGAGTTAGGGTTTTAGTTTTTCGTTCATCATCTTGATTTCTCAGGTTCTTATGCAATTGTTCCATGTGTTTAGGACGAAATCCGTGTAGGGGACGCTTTCATTGTTGATTTAAGTTGTGGATCTTCATTTTGAGGTATGGGAGGGAACTCTACCCTATCTCCACTTTCACCAGCGAAAGTGATAACGCGCACTTTGTTGAGTTTGGAACTTGTCTGGAACATTCACTTTCACCAGCGAAAGTGACAACGCATTATTCTGCTGTGATTATAGTTCCTCTAAAACGCTCACTTTCACCCGTGAAAGTGATAAAGCACCTTGTATTCTGCTGAGAACCTCTCTGGAACACTCACTCTTGTGGATAAAAGCGATTACACAAAGATTCCACTCCATACTTAAGCTCTGGGTCAATCACTTTCACCAGCGAAAGTGATCACGCTCAGCTCAAACTCCATTAACCCTTGTTCCTTGCATCCAGTTTTGCTACTTTTCTTCTATCATTCCATTGATCTTCCATCTTCATGAACTTTGCTCAGATTTTCTTGCAAAAACAAGATTGAATTATTAATTTCTACACAAAAAATTATTAAATGCTAAAATAGCAATATATTTAAAGGAAAACCTTAAATATTCTATTTTTATGAGTTTTTCTACTTTTTCCAACATATTTTCTTTATCAAATGGATTAAAACTACAATAAAATACTAGTCAAAATGTGGATTCATTAGGGTCCATCTGTCACACAATCATATAACCACAAAAGAGGAATACAAGACAAGAAGAAACACAGCAAAAAGGTGAGTCCATCACAAAAATCAATCAACAGCCAAAAACAAAAATAAACACAAGAAAGGAATCGACAAGAAATATCCATACTAAAATTATGCATCAAGATATCATACAAACATGTTACAATGAATTGTAAAGTTAGGCAAATTCACTAAAGAAAATGCATGCCGCACATAGAACTTCACGCCCTCTGATTTTCAATGTCCCTCTAGTCAAGTTGATCGAAGATCCTCATTCCCTGCTAACATAAACGTATATATATACATAGATATCTTTCTCAGTCATTTAACTCTTATCCTTTTGGAATGAGCCTACCACGACCCTGGTAATGCTTGCTTGCGTCAAGATTAGTGAGTGTTTGCTGGCGACGTGACTCGACCTCGATCGCTACTCCACACCATTGGATCAACCCCTCCTTATTACCCCCAAGGTTCTCTCTTGAACCTGAACACTGACATCCCATAACTATGCCATGTTGTGACCTTGACTCTCTTTTTCACTTCCATGCATGATGCATATGAGCAATTTAATAGATACATGCATGATGAATCCATATTTTTACTGATATTTTAGCATCATTCTAACACATTTGATAAGAAAAATATATGAAGAAAGCAGAAAAACTCAGAAAAAGAGAAGGAATTGAAGTTTTGTTTAAATTTGTAGTTATTTTAGCAATTATGGAATTTTTGATTAGGAATTAAGTTTTTAATCTTGTTTTTGAAGGAATAGTTCGAGCAAGGTTCATGTGAATGGAGGCTTGATGACAAGGAAGAGGAAAGAAATAAGTCTGGACTCCAAAACCACAAGAACAAGAAAATGCAGAATGGGCGTGATCACTATTGTCAATGAAAGTGATCACTCCAGAGTTCAAAGAAAGAAGAAAGCCTGGGCATTATCACTTTTATCAGCAAAAGTGATAGTTCCAGAGAGGCAAAATATCAGGAAAACTCTGCATAACCACTATTGTCATCAAAAGTGATCGTTCCAGAGAGTCTTCAACTTGGCGAGTTGCGCATAGTCACTTTCATCTATAAGAGTGATAACGCGCAACTACTTTGGCTCTGCATTGACACTTTTTTTAGCAAGAGTGATTGTTCCAGAGAGCTTTCATTATTAGGAAAGTTGCGCGTAGCCACTTCTTCTCATAAAAGTGTTAACGCACAACCATAAACCCTCTGCGTAGCTACTATTTCTCATAAAAGTGGTAACGCGTAAATCTGGGAAATTCTATAAATACCAGAAACAATCCAAAAATCAGGGATTCGGTTCATTGTCAGTTTTGTTAGTTAGATTCTCGTTGGAGGAAGTGAGAGAGAGGAGTGGGGAGTCAAATCTTGGAACTTCACAAAGAGACATTGGAGTGGAGCACGTTGCAATGGCGATTCCGATTTTCTTCTTCTCTTCTTCTCTTTCTTTTCTTTTCTCTGCTGCCATGGCTGTGTAATTTGTTCATAGTTAGGGATTGTAGATCTGAAACGAACATGTTGAATTGATTTTGGATCTGAATTTTAAGCTTTCGAATAGATTGAGTGATTGATTCTGCATTTTACGTAGTAATTGAATGAAAATTTGATTAACTAATTTCAGAGGAACTCTTGTAAATGGAAATTGAAGTTGTTCTTCAGATCTGAACCAATCACCGAGATTATAGTTTTCTTAGGGA